CAGGTTCCCTGGAGTAAGCTGCATCTTACTTCTTATCCCTTCTTCTTCTTGCATGACCCAGAAGCAAGAGCCCCCCACCCCCATCTATAATAACCTTACGTGCTGAACTCCTGCTCTCTCCCTGGTACATAGGATGGGTTTGATTTCTTCCTTCTCTGTGCAGCTTATATATCATCAGGTACAGATCCGTCCTATTGTAATAGTGCCCCATTCAGTCCCTGCAGTCTGTGTTGCTGTTTCAGTACAAACATGCTTCATGTTGATACATTAAATGTTCATTGTCATAGCAGCTTTAATGCAGCTTTGATTTCTCTTTCGCTTCCCATGACAGAGACAAAGAGCACGGCCTCACAAGTATTTTAGCACTTGTGGAATAGGTGGATTAGTCTGCTGGGAGGAGGGACTTTGCCCTGCTGCCTCCGGCAGTGGTTGGAGGGAAACATCTGCGGTCTTTTGGTCAGCGTTTGCCTGTTATATCTCTGGCAGGTTTTTCTGTGCTAACACTGGGAATATGGTAGTTGTGTACCAAGTTAGTGGCTTTCCTGACAAATAGAAATGCTGTGGTTTTTTTTTAATAGCAAGTTGAAGTCTGACAGAATTGCCTCCATTTTCCCTTATCCCAGAATGGGTATCGCTTTGAGTCAATGCATGGTATTCGGATCTTTTCCATGGCATTTTAAAGGCTGAGTTATTTTGTGCCTATATAAAAACTTTCATCCACCTACAGAAGAGCAGCATCTTTCTAGTTCACTGCATGTGTAATACTCCTGTCTGTGCAGTTCTGTATAGTCACTACCTCTACCTTCAAGTGCTTCTCAACTGAGATGTTCCTGTTTAGCCAGGATATTTGGGATTTACCAGATTATTCTTTTCCCGCTGACTTTCCATGAGACAGTCTTGAAGGATTCCAGAAGACCAGAAATCAAAACTGAGAAGATGAGAGTTCAGAATCTCATGTAATTAATGATGATAGGAACAGGAATTGTTGCTGTACACTAGCATAAGTAGAATTTCAATAGCAGGTTGATGAACCTTACCAAATTCTCCTTCATTCCCCTGCAAAAACCTTTTGAAATCAAGGGACATTGCTGGCATGACTAGGAAGAAAAAAAAGATCTGCCTGTCCCTACTGTATAGTAGATGTTGTCTTGCTCTTTCCCTACCAGCCTTCCCTGTGCTCCATTGCACAAACCTGCCATTGAGCACACTTGTATCCTACCTTTAAGAAATCAACCTCAAGAGACTGTTGGCAGAAAATGTTATGGTGTCTCCCTCTAGTGATGTGAACTAACGAGTCTGCTTTGGGTCACATGTGCCTGGTGCTACTTCTTCAGTGACAGGTATTTTTTAGGCTTTACAGGAGCAAAGAGGTTGACATTTCAAGACTGGGTCCCATTTCCCTGATGTCTGGAGGTGATACTCATCACTGGCAGCTCCGTGTTTACAGCTAGAGCTCACTGCTCAAAATGTAAAGCGTGCTTGTAAAGATACAGAAAGGTTGACTGTGAATTAAAGAGATATTAAATTTAAAATGCTGTGAATTTTCTGGTTTCAGTTCAAACATCCTTAAAAAAGTGATTCCTAAGAAGGAAATGAAAAGGCTGCATTTTTTCCCCTTGTCGCTGTAATCTATAAGTACTTTCACTTTGGTCAAGCATATTCCTCTCTCTTTTCGCAGTAGGATGAAGATACACTAGGGAAGGTTAAGGTAGTAGCTTATAGCTGTTCCCTGCATTATTATTATTATATTTCATTTAAAGAGGGTTCACCAATTTTAACGTATGCTGTAGTTCGACTTCAACTGATCTCAGTGACTTGGCTGACTTCAGTGCCTGATATATGCTGTATTGGAGCCAGAGCGGCTGTCTCCTCTAGTGTGAGGATCTCAGTGAATGTGGATGACAACATCCACAGCAATGCATAGAACAGTGCTGTTTGGAGGGAGTTAAGCATACAGCCCCGAAGTCTTCAACCTTTCTAGCTTCTCCCATGAGATCATCTGATTTTTCTCTTGTCACTCCCTCTACTTGCACACCAGTCCCACTGATGAAGACACTTAGCATCTATACCCCATGACCTGCAAGAAATCTGCTGTCAGAGGTGAACTCAGGGCAAAAAATAAGCCAGCTTTGGGGGGCAGGACATCCTGTTGCTGCTTGCTGTGTTGACCACAGCAAGGTCAGGCATCATTCAGCCTTTTGCAGAGTGGAAGCTTTCTCCAGCATCTGAATACAGATGTCCTGGAAGTGAGAACCTGCCAACTGAAGGTATTGAGTTATTCTGGTAATAAAAGGCTGCAGAATAATCTGGGGATGTGAAGGCTGATGCTCTTTGCCCCCCTCACTCAGACCTTCTTTGTGAAGGTCTCTGTGAATGTTCTTTGTGAACATTTCAAAATTGTATCTTCAGAACATCCTTCCCTTTCCTGTCTGAAGAAAAACAGGAGAGACTGTAGACATGGGATTTTTTTAACTTAATTTTTCTAGGAGGTTTCAAAAGCGTTGTTCTTATTTTTTCTACACTTGATTTTTCTTTCTTGCTGAACCATAGAAAAAAAAACAACAAGTCTTCTCATATACCCTGTATTATTTCATGCACTGGCTGAGCAAATCATCCCTTCTCATAAAGGTGAGTGGCCACCTCAGTGCTAGCGTGGAGCGGGGTGCAGAGCAGCCAGCAGTGGGATGACTGAGTGCAGGCCCATCCAAACAGGGAAGTCACTGCCTGATGCAGCCACTGAAGTTCACGCTGGGGCTGAGTGATGTGAAGGATGAGCATATCCTGAGGATCACCACTGGCCTTCAGCCACCGGTAAAAGTCCATAATGCAGGTAATAAGGGCCTGGAAAAAGGCATTGATCGTCAGAGATTTCAATTATCACAGTATTGATGTAAAGCTGCAGCAGAGAGGAAGGGCCACAGAATTTGGAGAGGACCATACCCATGATACACTCCACTGGGCAGCCCAAAAGCCCATGTGTCGTGTCCCAAGAAGGCTACCAGTGGGACGTAAGCTGGCTGCAGCTTGAGGTGGACAAGGAAGCAGTGATGGAGGGTTCTTGCTCCCAATAAATGTTCTTGCAAGCCACGTCCTGTTTCATGAGCCTGATTGAGGACTGCCAGCAGAGCCATCCTACTGTGTGGACAGGCATTTAGATCAGTGAAAGCCATGTGGGTATCCATGTGCATACTGCTGTATGCTTTACTTGGGAGCCTTTTACTATGTGCTTATTTGAATGTTCAACCTGCTGGTGTGTGTGCATGCATTTTGCTGCACATGTAAGTTTTTTGATATTTAGCAACCTTATGCACCTTCCTCAAAGGCTAGAACTGAACAGCAGTAAGCATGCAAAATGAAAACAGAGAAGGAGAAAAAAAAGTATCCTGAGTCATGCTGTACCTGCAAGGAAAAGGCATCCTTTGACTGCGGGATATGGATCTGTACAGCTGTCCAGAGAGTGCCTATAGAACCTATAGTACAGCTATGTGAAGGGAACAGGAGAATAATTAATTATCTTTAGTGTCACTCCTGGTGAGATACAAAATGTCTGAAATTCTGTGAACTACAGAAGCTCAGACCAGGTTCCAAACTGTGCATCTCCAGCCTCCCTCTGACAGTCTCACTTTTATCAACTGTGTTTGTCCCTGATGGACTTGGCATTTTCCGGGCAAATAAATAATTGGTTCTCATCTTTGTCTCCCCTTCCGCCCAAAGGACTTAAAGCTAATTTGTGCTGACTATTGGTCTTTGGGTAAAGGGCTACTGCAAAGGGAAGCTGGGGTGTATATATAGATGGATGATCCTTGCACCGTGAAGTTGTAAGTAGCCTCTCATCCTGTGAGAGATCTCTGACTGTAAGAGGGTTCCTTTAGGAATTTTTCCAGAGAATTAAGCAGGTGGGGATGGGAAGCCCCTATGCCTTAAGCATTTCAGCAAGCTCAGCTCTAGGCTCAAATGCCTGGAGCTGCACACACCACAGCTTGGGTGAAATACAGGCAATACGGGCACACAGTACAGGTGGTTCCATGTGAGAGCCTGGCTTGTGCCTCAAGAAGTGGCAGGGTGGGTCTCAGAGTCCATGCACAGAGCACAGGCTGTAAGGGAGTTGGGGATGAGGGAAAGTCACATTTGACATGAGCATCTCTTGAGTGAGACCCAGGAAAGATGTAGAAAGGAGACTGTTAACTCGAACAGACAAAAGTAATTAGAGGAGCAAAATAATAGATTAATGAGCAACTAGTGTCAGGGGAACTTAATAATTATCAGTAGAGGATTTTCTTCAATGCACAGGCTGGCTGAGGGCAAGAAACATAGCAAGCAAAACTCTAGTCCTGTTTAAAGAAGCTGCTAGGGGATTAGGGGCAAGGAATGCATGGAGGATGATAGCAGAGGCTGAGTCAAGTGCTTCCTTTGAATCTCTTGTTTTCTGTAGCTCAGGTAACAGCTGAAGAGGAGGGAGATGTGGGAAATGCTAGATAGTATCTAACGGTGTTAATAATGGTTCAATAAAAATGCTCTGATAAGAACACATTAAAGTTGCACAGTTAAGCACTTGCAAGCCAGGTAAGGTGAGATTTAAGGTTACAAATACAACCTTAACTCTTCTCCTGCTGAGTGTACCTTAGCAGGCAGCCTCTAATTAAGGGGCATCAGGCTACTTTCCAAGTAATGTATCATAACACTGGTTAATGTTCTCTTCAGCTTTGGGCAGGATCATATGGTGCTTTAAATGTTGTGCGTGTCTGTGTGTGCCTGGTGAAACATATCCATTTTAATAATGGTGCTGAGAATGCTGCATTAGTTGCACTTGAACCAAATAGTGTGGTTTAAACACAAGGTCCATTTAGAGTGTTTAGACAAAAGGCACCTTCCATTCTCTCAGGCCACTATCTCATGTCTCAGAGAGCAGTAGGCTAGGAAAGTGTCAACATTTGCTGCAAGTAATGTTGAATATAAGAGATTTCTTTCTAAGGACAGATTTTGACTCCTTTAGCTTTGCATGTTGCATTTTTGACCTAGTTGCTTTTCTGAAGTCATTCTGACCACAAGCCAAGATATTACTCTGTTACATCAGACTGTACCACAAAATGTGCCCATCCTCTCTGTCACTGAGACTTGTGTTTTCCATTATCTTATCAGTTTATTTTCCTCTTAGACATTCTACACTTGCAGCTTTTAGTCTCATTGCATGCACCGTGGTTTGTGATACAGTGGAAAAGAGAATACATGTAAATGGTAGATCTATTCATAAGGAGCACTGGAGAAGTGAGGGCTTGCAGAGAAGGGCTTAAAGTGCACATTGTAGATTCTTGGTAGCTATGCGAAGTTGTTAGCCCTGCCCATGCTATGACCTCACAATCCTTTGAGGAGTATCTATCCCTTCTGCTGTGAAAGTGACATTGGACTATGGCTCTCTCCAAATCTGTCATCACGTGAGTTCAGATGCAGACTTGCATTTGTTTGAGAGTGTTTAGAGCAGTCTCGGATGCCCTGAGCTTTATTTTTATATTGTGGATCACTGTCCAAAGAACAGATGGGGTAGCAGGAAAGCCAAAGGCAAGTGAAGTAGCCTCAGCAGTAATCAGAGCTCCGTAGATATTTCTGCAGGTTTCCAAAGGTGTGTTTGGTTGCCCAGCAAGGAAGAATCAGGTTGTGAGAGTTGTCTCTTCAAGGCATACCAGTCAATATAGAGTGGAAGCTCAGCAAAAAGGTTGTGTGAAAAGAGAAGGTCACAAAACCCAGCCAGTCCTCTGGGAGCTGGCCACAGAAAAGCAGAAGTCATGTGCAAGAAATGAGAGGACACCTGTGAGGAGAAGCTAGAGAATTTCACAGAAAGCCCCCAGCACGGGAAATATGGTGATTAGTTTCCACAGACCTGCACGCATCTGAAGTGAGCTAAAAATTTCCTCACTCAGAGACTTTGGGGATCGCTGAGCATAGTTTGTTTAAAAGAAATGAGCTTCATCTGAGAGGTTTTGCAACTTGTGCTAATGAGAGTCTGTCTGTCAAACTTAAGTGGCATCAAGTGGCTCAGAACAAGGGCTCTTGGGCGTTAAATGGTTCCTACCAAATACCAAGCCCATTACCATGATTGGCTGTTATAGCCCTCTAAACGGCAAAAGTGATTAAATTGGTCGTTATGAAACACTAAAGATGCATAATTATGAAAAATAGGGCTTGAGTAAGAGGAGATTTCATCTCACTCACTGGCTTGTATCTCAAGGAGGAATCAATGCAGAAATGTTTTAAAAGCAGCCAAGGGTTGCCCCTTGTCTGGTTTTCTCCTGGCAGTCTGGAATCATGAATGTGTTTGGAAAGGAGCATGTTTCTTCAGTCTCTAGGCCAATATATGAGTTGGAGCCTGAGTATCGCAAGACCTCGTCTGCACATAAGTTTAAAATTCTCCCTTGCCAGGGGAGGCTTTGAGTCCCTGCTATCCCTCACACCCCTGGGCTCTGAGAGAGGTCGGCTCTTCTTGGTTGTGTGCCACAGGATCCATCATACCCATCCAGCAGCACGGAGCAATGAGCTGTGAACATGTGTCCTGTGCTGAGCCAAGCCCCAGCAGAGAATCATTTGGGCAGAAGAGGTTATGTGGGCAGGAGCAGCTCCAGCAACTCGGTGAGAGCTAAAGCATCAACACACTGGTGTTTATTTAGCAGACTGGGCAATCAGAATTAAGAATTGAGCATTTTTCAACAGGAAACTGCTGTGGGAGGCTTTGAGATGCAGCCAGTGCCAAGCAAACCTATCCATACCCAGCTGTCCCTAATTTGCTGAGGTGAGCTCCTAACCTTGGCATATCAGGTACTCCTGCCTTATCCAGGAGGCAGGGATTTGTGCTGCTGGATGCTGTGGGTATGAGGGCTGCTCCAAAAATCATGCCTCTTATTTTACTATGTTGCCCACACTATCAGAGCCAGATGTTGGAGGGATGGTAGCAGAGGTTGAACCTTCCCACCAGCATTCCCTTACATTTTGTTGCCATGTGACAGATGGCAGCAGAGGGGCAGTCTGACAGAATGGCATCTGAGATGGAAGTGCGGATGAAGCAAAGGTATGGAAATAAACTCCTTCATGTGGAAAAAATGGCACCCATTGACATTCACCAATGCTTGCTGAATGTTTATGGCGGCCAACCTTTGAATGTGAGCACAGTGAGCCGGTGGGTGGTGCGTTTCAGCGACAGCAGGCAGTGGGGCATCTCCACTGATGCAGATTGTTAGGAGCACAGCATGCAGGCTCTTGTTCTTGCTGGTGAAAATACACAGCTAATAATGATGGCTATGTTGAAAAGTGGTGTTTTGAAGCTGAGAATGTGCTCTATCAAATAGTTTTATGGTGCTCTTTGTATCTGTTGTAGTTTCCATGGAAATAAATAGGATGCATTACTTTCAGAGTGGCAAACGAACATTCTGTCCTGGGAAACTCTCTGTTAGCAGACAATGGTGTGTGCCTCATCGCTGCTGAACTTCACCTTTCTACTTCAGCCCCTTCCCTGTGGGCTGAGGGAACATCTCCTCCTCATGTGAGTGGCACCATTTTAGCATCTGTATCTTTGCTGCTGTGGAGGACAGCAGCCTCCTGTGAAAAGAGCCAGCAGCTGCTCCAGAGTTGTGCTCTCCATGCCACAGGGAGGGTTTCTAGGAGACAGCTTAACAAAGGTGGATGGCAGAGATGAACTGTCAGGGCTCCTGTCACTGGTGTTTGGTGATTGTGCAAAGCAACAGGAGCGCTGAGTATCTGTGGAACTCTATAGATGGGCAGGTGCTGAATATGAAGTGGCACAGCTACTACCTGTCTTTGAGCTTAGTGTGTCAGGGAGAAGGGTTGTGGAGTTCTGTCAGTGAAGAACAGGAGGCTTTTGCCTTTGTAACAGCTCCCTTTCCTATTTTTGGGCCGCCCTGAGGGTGAGACAGGTGCTTTGCACCCTTCCTGCTCTCCCACCCAGCCTCCCAACTGTGCCAGTGCCTATCCCTGCTGCTTTAGAGTGCCCCTCAAGTAATTCTCATGCTAAAAGGCTGGAATAGCACCAAGAACAGAGCAGAATATGTGCACGGTTGTTCTCACAGCTTCATCAACCCAGACTTCCTGAAACTCAGATGTTCTGTGTTTGCACAGACTTTCAGCAGAAGCAGGTTATTTATTTATTTATGTTTTAGTATCTTTTTAGTTCTCTCCTTCTTTGATGCCATCCCAACCCTAGAAGAGCTCATTTTTACAACCTCCTCAGAAAGAGTAATAGCTGTGCTGAGCTATGCGTAGCCTCCAGGGGCTCTCCACTCTCCTTGGTTGCTGCATTTCTCTGTAGGTGAGCATTGCCTGAGTTGCTGAGCCCATGTCCTTGTTTTTCTGGTTGGAACCAAGTGGTCACTGGGGATAAGCTCATATTTACGTACTGTTACTCCTTCTCTGTTTGATATGTAATGTACTGGCAGATTCTACCTGAAATTCTGCTGACCATTCATCTCCCTCATCTACCCCTGTCTGCCTTCCATCTTCCTCGTATGACAGCTGATTTGGAGTACCTTGAAGGAACCTAATTTTTTTTTGTAAATCAAATGCCTTTAAAAAATGATCAGATGCTGCTTGGTATCAGAATATGTCATTTAAGGCATTAGTCACTTCTAAGAAAATACTCAGTGTGTATGCAATTTATGTTATTATTCCTATCCCAAAGGGCAAGTAATATCATCTTCAGGTGTATGTGAGAGTGTGTGAGCAATCCTGTTGGCTGGTTTGCTGTGTAAAGTTGCCTTTCCTAGTACTTCTGTCGCTGCTGTAATCAAAATAAAATGTGCCCTGTCCTAAATGGAAAGCCAACTATCTCCACTTTTTGAAGAGACTGTACTCTTCACAAAGATAAAGTTGGAACACACCCCTTGGCTCCTGCTCACATTTAATCCTCCTCCAAGTCCAGTCTACTTACCCAACTTGATCTGTCTGAAGAATTGCTTGCGTTACTTTAATTGGAGTTAGAAATATCGTGAAGGGTTTTAGACCGTTCTTGAGTTTTGAACAGAGGACAGCTTGTGAAAATGGATTGATTTCATTCCTTAGATGCCTTTCTAACTTCTTTTCGTAACTTGTTGTAATTTCCACATAGTTGTTAGCTTAAATCCCCAGCTGTACAGGAAAAGATTACTCTTTGCAAGGGTGAATGTTTGCCACAAATTCTGATTCCGGGAATGCAGACATATTTCATTATTGCAGCTTGCTTCCAGGAAACAATGTGACCACAATGAAGTTCCTTGCCTACACACTGGCTTGTAATATTCGAAAATGCCTACATTTTAGATTCTTCCAGAATAATGAATGCATCTGAGATTTCCCATATTATTAGCCTAGCTTATGCTAAAAAAATAATAGGGTTGTGATTGCCATTCTCTTTGGATTTGACATTACAAGTGTGTGTATCAGGAACTAGATCACTCGAGAATTAAGCTTGCTCACTTCCCTGCAGAAATAATTTAGTCCAGATGCCTCAAAAAGCTTAATTTGTGTTCAGGGAACAGCTTCTCAGGATGGAATGGATTACAGACACTGGAGAATAGAATGAATAAAAAACTGAGCCTGCGTGTTGCATATGGAACCTTTTCCATCTTCTCATTTGGTCTATAAGCCCCAACTGCATTTTAATCAGTTGCTTTTGACAAGTATGATTTTGATGACAAACAACACAGTGGGTGGACACCTTATTTATTTATAAAATTGTTCTCATAGGTTTCAGAAGGGCTTCAGAAGTGTCCTCAAACACTACAGCCTTCATGATCAGGACGTCAATGTCCAAAAATTGTACCTAAACATGGAAGTTACATATTTCTAGCCTAAAAATTTTTATACTAATGGCAAATACTGTGTTGTGACTGTGATCTTACTTTTTTGCCTTTGTCACATCACTTTGTTTTGCCTATATGTTGCCTCTCCCTTTGTTAGTTTTTTTTTTTTTTTTTTTAATCTAGTGCTTATACTCTGTCAATAAATCTAGGAGGGAATGCTGCAAATTCCACGTTTTCAACTTCTCAAACCCTAACTTGGAAACTCAAATTTAAAATTTAAACAGAATCCACTTGCCTTCACATTGCTGTGGCAAACTGAGTGCATTGCTTTTAAGATGCTGGAAATAGGTTCCCAAGAAGAAACTGCATTCTGGAGTTGTCCGGAATAGATTTTCTGAAAGTGACTTTAAATACAAAAGTACTGTCAAAGAACTACCCTTAGCAAAAGCTACTCATTTAGCTGGCTAGCCAGCAAACCCAAAGACCAGACCATGTATTAGATGTCCTTTACTAGACATCAGTCTCATAGAGGTAGGGACATTGCCTGTAAACTTGTACCAAAGCAATCTGTTATCCAGCTGTCCTTTATCTCACCATTTGCCAAGTTGGCTCTTTCGTCTCCAGAATTCCCCAGGTCAGGAAAAGAAAATGGA